TCAGGCCAACAGCTCATGAGGATCTAAGGTCTTAGCCTAAAACCTGTGAGCTACCGAGTCCTGTGAGTGAGCCAGAAAGCAGATCCATCCTGACTAAGCCTTGAGATGACTGTAGCCCTGTGAAAGACCCAGAGCCAGAGAACCCAGTTAAGCTACACTAGGATTTCTGACCCACAGAGATGGAGATAATAAATGTTATGTTACTAAGTTTTGGGGTAATTTGTTATGCAGCAAAAGATAACTAATGCATATCCCATTTTGTTGATGAAGAAATTGAAGGTTAGGGAGATGAATCAACTTTCCCAAAGTAACACAGCTAGTAAAAGGCAGAGCCAGGATTTGAACACATTTAGGTTCAAGTTTACTTTCTTTTTTTTTTGGTGAGGAAGATCAGCCAAACATCTGTTGCCAATCCTCCTCTTTTTGCTGAGGAAGACTGGCCCTGGGCTAACATCTGTGCCCATCTTCCTCTATTTTATATGTGGGATGCCTGCACAGCATGGCCTGATAAGTGGTGTGTACCTCCGTGGCCAGGATCCGAACCTGCGAACCCCGAGCTACCAAAGCAGAGTGCATGAACTCAACCACTAAGCCACTGGGCCGGCCCCAGGTTTACTTTCTTATGAGATTCCAAGTGATGGGGAAACTGGAGTTCTAGAAGGCATTCTACTCTCTGAAATCCTTGGAGTGTAGCCATGTTTCCAGGAAACTCTGTGCGTGTGTAAAACAGGGATGGACAAAAGTTTAAATGGTGCTGAGTATTTTAAGTGGCCTACTCCCTGCTGCAGAAGAATGGCTGATCTAGCCATAGATCTGGTGATAGTAACCAGGGTCTCCATTCAACAGCACAATGGCAGAGCTAAAAGCTGCAGCCCATCCGTTTTACAAGCACTCAAGCCATCTTACCTATAATATGTAAGGCGGGTAAAGGGGTAAACACACTTTTCTTTCTTTTTTTTTTTTGTGAGGAAGATCAGCCCTGAGCTAACATCCATGCCAATCCTCCTCTTTTTGCTGAGGAAGACCAGCCCTGAGCTAACATCTATTGCCAATCCTCCTCCTTTTTTTCCCTAAAGACCTAGTAGATAGTTGTATGTCATAGTTGCACATCCTTCTAGTTGCTGTATGTGGGACGTGGCCTCAGCATGGCCAGAGAAGTGGTGCATCGGGTGGGCGCTGGGGGTTCCGAACCGGGGCCACCAGTAGTGGAGCACGCGCACTTAGCCACTAAGCCAGAGGGCCGGCCCCCACACACTTTTCTTGAGGATGAAAATGCCTGCATTGAGTAATGAGAAGGTATGGTTTGCTATTTAAAAACCATATGAGCCCTCGAATTGGAAAACAAATGGTTCTCCCCTAGGGAACACCCTCCTCCACTGATGTGTGTGTGCGCGCGTGCGCGTGCGCGCTTGTTCCCCTCCGTAGAACAGAGCCTTGAACTTTGAAATCACAGAGCTTTGTTCCTGCATGGAAAGCAGCTTGGCACTTCCCTGTGTTGGAAGCTCCCCAGTTTGGGACGGTAAAAACGTCTTCTTCTAGATAGTTTCCCTTTGTTCATCCAGAGCTTCATGCCGGTGGTCAGTTTTACGAAATCTAATAAAGATACATTCATTGGCGGGCTGCATGAATCTATCCTTCCTTGTCAGCTTTGCCCTGTGCCAGAGCAGCAGGTTTAAGCTCAGGGAGGATTTCCAGGTGGCAATAGAGCAATGGTCCCACAGAGTAGAGTTCTGGCACAGTTCTCCTTTTAACTAGTGGCAGAGGCTGCCTTTTGTTGGCGTAATTGTGCAACCTGGTGTAAAGTCCACAGCCAGGGAGTGAGGCTATGACTCTATCTAAGCTAGCTCAGCACTCTGTGGCCTCTCGACTCTTTCCAGCTTTCCTTACCCTCTTCTCTACTGGCCTTCTCTCTCTCATCTCTATCTCTATATCTCTATGTCTATCTCTCTCTGTCTCCCCCTCTCTCCTCTCCAATCCCTTCGTCCCTGTCAGCCTCCACCTTCAGGGATTCCTAACTCAGGGAACCACCTCTTATCAAATATCTTGGCTTGCCTCCAACTGCTAGGAGCAGGTGGCTCTGGCTCTTGTCTGCTGAGTGATTTTCTTCTCCACCAGTTGTTTGTTTCTCTAATCCACTTGGAATTGTGTGTAGAATCCAGGAGGAAAATGTCCAAAAACAAAAAATGGAGCTTCTCCCGAGTGAGATTTCCCCCATGGACTAAAATAGGAATGAAAGGAGACTCAGATTCTGCTCCCTCAAAAAGCGATACGATGAAAAGAGGGCAGGAGTGATAAAGAAAAGAGAGTAAAATGTAGCATTGGCATACACTAAGGCCCAAGGCAAACCACTCTGCTCCTTAGATATTGGGACATCACTCTGAGTCCTTCATTTGCCACTTAATCAGGATTTATAGAGGCTATTTTTGCCTTTAACATACCTGCCATCTTGGTCTTGCTCAAGTGGCTCTGAAGAGATACCATCTGCACCACCTCCACAGCCTGCCACACAACACAAAGCTGCAGACTTCCTGACTCCTGGAGTTCTCGCTTTCTAAGAGGGGGCCTTGAGAGTGGTGGAGAAGCACATAACACAGGACAGAAAAGAGAAGCTGGATGGAGCAGTTACGTTCTAAGTTTACCTTGTGCACGCAAAATCAAAACATAGAGTCCAAGCAATAACCTTTCCAGTACTGCATTGGCCTCCATAACACAATAGCCTTCTGTTGGATCAAAGAACATTCCTTAAAACTTTCTTTCTTTAAGGTTTTCTCTCTTCTTACTGGGTTGTACATGTTTAATTTTACATTTCTTTTCTTCACTGATTTTCACAAGGAATGGGAGTGGTAGAAGTGTATATGCATGTATGAGCAAAAACGTTTAGTGTATAAAATAGAGTGAATAGCTGACATTTGTGGCAATTTTCCTAGTTTTGTGATAGTAATTTTGTTGAGTTCCTGAACTTAGATGGCAAGCCCTCTTAGTGAGGCTGGCCTAATTCTATGTTCTCTGTGGCACCTAGTCACTAGGGCTGTGCAAGAGTCATTATTACCCAAAGTACCATAATAATGGCCATGCCCTCCCATGACGTTATTGTTTCCTATCCGCCAGGACATTAATTGCCTTCTAACTTGCTCTAAAATTGGTAGGTAGGGCACACTGCCAAGACTAGAGAGAAGAAAGCTGCTGGTAATATATTAAAAGCCTGTGAAAGGACATACTGATACCTCCTTCTCATTGGAGCATCTTCATATTTGCATGTTACTGCATTTGTTATGGGATATTAGTTCAGGCTTGCCTTATGTCTTGGATTCCATCTTATCATGGTCAATGTCTGATCTTTCCTTCAACTGAATGATTCAGACATCTCTGAAGTTATTTTCGCTTTTCCACTTTCCTTTACAGGCTTTTTATGAGTCATTGAATTGAAGGGGAGGTTACTTCTAAATTGGAAGGTGAGGATGAGAGAAGGGGGAGGAAAGTTCTGGAAAATAACTAGGAAAAGACACCTTATTGTTATGTATATTTACTGGAGGAATAATTTCTGCTTAGTTTGGTTATAGAGGTATGTAGTTTATTCAAATTTGACTAAAAATATAGGCGAGAAAATATACAATTTTTTCCTGGAAAATGCACCATACAGTTTTAGAGTCCTTGCCCTGCAAAGGACAGGAGGGTAAATAGAAGAGATATGAGACAAAGAGTTAGCAGGAAGAAGAAAGGGGCAAAGCACAAAATTTCCAAAGTCCAGATTCTTGGTCCCACAGGAAGTTCCCAATCATAAAGCAACGCTTGTGAGAGGAATACCTCCTTGCCCTGTCCCAACCCATCCCTGGGTGTATGTTTCATGGCCCATGGGTTTGTGTATTATAGATGGAGTTGTGAGGAAGGTGCGTTTAAATTTGATTTAGAAATTGAAAGAGTAATCAGGCCCGCATTTTGTTATTTAGGAGCCGGAAAAGTGAGTGGACATAAAAAAGAAAAGCAAAAAGCTAATGATGGATACATTTCTAGGAGCACTAGAGTTTTTATAGCAACATCAGATTTCTCAAAAGTGCCTACTGTGATTTGTACCCAAACGAATAAAAAAATGCAATCCTTTATTCTTGCGCATTGTGCCAATGTGAGAAAAGAACTGCAATTCATTCAATGGTTCTAATTTAGACCGCTAGGAAGAAGAGAGGTTTAGAAAAAAAAGACAAGCTTTTTAAGTATCTGACACACATCTACTACCGCTATTTAAGAACTGCTGAATATAAAAATCACGTTGTGGGGGCGGGGGCGGGGGGGTGCGGACTTCTCATTTCCAGAGCATCACAAGGGTAAACTGTAGTCCAAACTTGCCGATGGCTGCCTGGTCACTTCGCAGGAGCAGGGGTGAGTCTGGAAGCTGGAGAACACTCCACACGCCGCTTCAGTTTATTAACGACGTTTATAATTGCAACCGAAGTGGACTGATTTCTTCTAAATAAAGTTGTGCTTTGTCCTTTAGCATAGAGACTTCTGGAAAGAACTTCAAGGAAATTGAGCGCATTGAGACCTCAAGAAAAGAAGGGGAAATAAGCTTCTCCTTATAGGGAGGGAGCTGGAGAAAGTGATGAGTTTACAGTCTGCACTCTACAACAAAGAGTTAACCTTTCTCCGGTAACCTCGGATGTGAGCATCAACCCCTTCCTTGCTTTCTACTGCGCAACCAAACTGTGCCTAAGCTTGAACCAACCGTGGCGGTCATATCGCTTGCCAGTTGACTTAACAGACACTTTCGCCAGCCTATCATAATTTCGAACTGCCCAACCGTCAACCAATTACAACTAAAGCTTGGTCTGGGACGCTCCAGGTCCGGGCGGGTGCTAATACCGGGTCCAGGAAAAGGGGCGGTGAGGAGGCTATGACGGACAGGTAAATCAAGCCAGTCAGAGCAGAGAGCAGCCGCCCCACTATCCAATGGACAGGTAGGAAGTATGAAACGGGGTGGGCCTGTTGTCATGGGGGAGGTGGTGGCGCTAGGTGGCTGCTGGCGGCCGAGGTAGAGGCAGTGGCGCTAGAGTTAGTCGCGGGCAGCGGCAGGTGAGTGCCTGTAACGCGGGCCTGAGGTTTGGGGCCGTCGCGGGGCGGAAACTCCAGCTTGGCGCTCCGGAGGCGGAGGCCAGAGGCAGAGGGCCTGGACTGCGGGCTGGGTCGCGCCGGGGCGGGGGCCGGGGCGGGGGCGGCGGCGGCGGCGAGTTCGCGCTGACTGTGCTGGTGGGAGAATGGCGTGGCTCCCGGCCGCGGAGTTCGCGTCGGCAAGGTAGGCTGGGGCCGGACCGAAGTGGGTGAGACCGGAGTTCCCTTGGGACGTCCAGCCGCTCGGGTCTGGGGCACTGACTGGCGACTGATGTGTGAGGGTTAGGTCCCTGGGGAGACGGGAGAGCGGCCGGAGTCCCAGAGAGGGGGTGACCTGCGGTGACCGGTAAAGATCTGATCCGACGGCGAGTGATTCGGGAATACCCGGGACAGCTTGGGTGCAAGGGAGAAGGGGAACCCGGGAAGCCCGGGAGCGGCCCGAGCGGAGGGAGCTGGGGGGGCCGGGACACTGGGAATGGCTCGGGTTCGAGGGAGAAGGGCGGTGGGGAGACCGAGGGCGGCCGGGGTCCGAGGTGACAGGGAGCGCCCTGGGTTGGGGCAAGGGCGTCTGAGGAAAGGCAGGGAGGGGGCTGGGGACCCTCCTGAGAAAGGCCGCTGTCCGAGGGAGGAGGGTTCCTGGGGACTTAGGGAGCTGCGGGAGTTAGGAGGGTCGGACCTGTGGAGACCTTGACCAGCTTGGGGAGGCCCCGGAGCGCCCGGCCCCCTGCCGCTGGTCTGGGATGGGAGACCCCAGACTGGGCTGGGACCTCCTGGAGCTGAGGATCCTCGGTGGACCGGGAAAAATATCCTCGAGGCGTACCTCGGGTTTAAGACGGGACGGGGGTGAGGGGTCTGGCAGGGGAGTGGAAGTTTTCTCAGTTGGAGAGGAGTCAAGCAAAATGACACGGGGGTGGGCAGGGAGAAATAATTTCCTTGTGGGAAGGGAGTAGTAGCTAGGGCGCAGTAGGAGGGAGCGAGAAAGTTGCTTCGGAACAGAGGAGTGGTCTTGTGGAAACCAGCCAGAATAGTAGATATGAGAAGTTAACAGTGGGGTCATTAATAGGTTCTAAGGACTTCAGAAATAGAAGACACTTCCTAGCTTCATAATACTAAGATGCCGTCTAGGACCTGAGGAAAGGTCCTAAAAGCAAGACTAAGTGACTTGCATTCCAGTGCTTTAGAAAAAACAATTGTTTTAAGATGACAGCAGTAATATTAGAAAATCAGGACGTTGACAGGATGGGGAATTTGAAAGGGGAAAGGGGAGGAGTAGCTGAACTAAAGGAATAGGACTGGGGACTTGATAAGACAGGAGAGTCGCGAAAAGGATAGGCATATCCTTGCTAAATTAGAAATACGTTTGAATTCCAGTTCCACCACTTAGCTTGAACAACTTAACCTCTCTGTGCAAAAGTTTCCTCTGTTTAATAGGGATAATAATAGTTCCTACTTCATAGGGTTTTTTTTTTCCTCACGAGGTAGTATTTGTAGAGCTTTTAGAATAGTGACTGGCACAGAGTAAGCGCTGTGTACTGGATTGTTAAATAAAGGATAAAGACAGACCTGAGTTCTTTAACGCAGCAGTTCTCAAACTAGCTTGCACCAGAATCACTTGGAGGGCTTGGTAAAATACAGACTTCTGGCCCCACCCAGAGTTGCTGATTGAGTAGGTCTGGGATGGGGCCTGAGAATTTGCATTTATCTCAGGTGATGCTTATGGTCAGGGGACCACACGTTAAGAAGCGCTTGCTTTAATGAAAACAGTAATAATGTAGCAACTTGAAAATATCTGTCTACCCTGTTAGAGACAGGTAGAGGCAAATTGCAAAAAAGATCCTAGTATAAGGGATACCTTATTTTAAGGCTATGTTTTTTCAGACTGTGGATCATGATTTATTAGTAATTTATGAAATTGATTTAGTGGGTTACCACCAGCATTGAAAATAAAATGAAATAGAATAGAACAGAATTGACTGGCACTGCACTTAGTAGGGAAAAGTGTTGTTCTGGGAAACTTTTCTCATACATGCGTGAACTAGGTCACAATGTAAAATGTATTGCTCACAGTCAAAAGAGTTTGAAAAATTGTTTTGAGCCATGCAGTGCAGCAAAAGCACTAGGGGTATCTAGGGACTGGGTTTATTATTTATTTGTTTATTTTTCTTCTTTTTGTGGTAGTTTTTTCTCAGATGGTGATACAGTCTATTAAATTTCTTCAGTTTCTGATTTGGTTTCTCCTGTGTTTGCCTTATCGCATATTGTGTTATGCCTCTTTAGAAACTGAGAATCTTGGGCGTGAGGATTTAAGGGAATTTGAAGCAGGGAAATGAAATTGACTGGTGTTTCTCAGATGTGGTACACTCTTGTCTCTCTTGTGCCCTCTTGTTTACCTTCTCTTTTTTTTTTTTTTTCCCCACTGTACCGTAAAGCAGTGTCTGTAAAAAAACCTGAGTATACACAGACATATTGACAGTAAACAACTAACACTGAAATGGGCTGGTTTGAGAACAGTTCATGTATAGAAAATAAGTAAAAACCAAGCACATTTTTCAAAAGAGAAAAGTGAAAGGGTGTTTCCTTTTTAGAGAGTAAATGCATCTTAAAGCTTTTTATTGCCTTACACTAATACAAAGCATATAATATAAAAGCATTTTTAAGGGAACCGGATATACTTGTGTATTTTATATATCTAGATTTTTGAAGAGGGAATAGTGATAATACTTGACAGTAAAATACACCTGGGATAGAGGCTTAACTACAAAGTAAATAGTTTATTTTGCGGGAGCTATTGTGTTGATGGTTTTCTCGTTGGAGAAGGAACTGGATATCGCATATGTTGTAAATTTAACTTATTTGAGGGACCTAAATGTAATCTACAATACTTATTTTAAGCTATATTAAGAATATATATGTAAGTTTTGTGCTGTTCTTGGTTTGATTTTTCTTCTCTTGAAAAGTAGATGATTTGTATTTAGAAAGAGTCAATTTAGATCTGTTTTTGTGGATAGAAGAACAGAGAAAGCAGTATTGAAAACTGAAAGAGATTCTTGCAGCTCTCTTAAAAATCTTTAATCTTTAATCCAAGGATTTATGTAACCCTTTTATTAATGTTTTATGAAAGTGTGAAGAAACTATTGGTGTAGCTTTGCATCAGGATTTTTAGGTAGTTTTTTCTCTCTCAAAAATCATTTTTAGTTGTATTTCAGGTTTTTATATTTCATTAAAATTTTTATTTTTGTTTGGAGGACTGCAAAACATAATCATTGCATGTTTGAGTTGAAAAACATAAGCAGTCTTTTCACAAAACAAATTGACTAATTTTTTGTGACAAAGGTTCCAAGGATGAAAGCTTTTGAATTCCTTGCATTGAGTTAAATGGAGTAGCCCTACCACCAAAATGGTTGTTCTTTAAGTCATTGTACAGTTGGTGGGCACATTTGTATAGATCATTCAGTTCTTTACTAACCGATGGAGGAATGTAAAATCTTAATAATCGAGTGTGGGAAAAATATAAAAGTTCGTTCTTCATAATTGTGAACATTAACCAGTTTAATTATTTGCTTTTTAATAAATGGACTTTATTCATTCATAATTTAACTATACTTATCTATGAATAGCTCTGATTGCTCAACTCATTTTACAGTGAGATTTGTTACTCTGTAGTTGAATAAATGGTGGTTTGTTTTTTTTTTTTATGAGGAAGATCAGCCCTGAGCTAACATCCATGCCAATCCTCCTCTTTTTGCTGAGGAAGACTGGCTCTGAGCTACCATCTATTGCCAATCCTCCTCCTTTTTTTCCCCAAAGCCCCAGTAGATAGTTGTATGTCCTAGTTGCACATCCTTCTAGTTGCTGTATGTGGGACGTGGCCTCAGCATGGCCGGAGACGCGGTGCGTAGGTGTGCGCCCAGGATCCACCGGGGCCGCCAGTAGTGGAGCGCGTGCCCTTAACCACTAAGCCACTGGCCGAGCCCACCAATCCTCCTCTTTTTGCTGAGGAAAACTGGCCCTGGGCTAAACATCCGTGCCCATCTTCCTCCACTTTATATGGGATGCCAGCACAGCATGGCTCGACAAGCAGTGAGTCGGTGCCCATGAACCCTGGGCCGCCACAGCGGAGCACGCGCACTTAACCGCTTGCGCCACCAGGCCGGCCCCTAAATGGTGGTTTTTTAAGTCCCAAAGAAACTGTGTGCTCCTGACTGTACAATTTATTTAATGAGACCCAATTTCACATATCAAAGATTATTCAGGTAAATGATTTTAAAGAGTAGAAGTTCAATTAACACTAGTAATTAAGTTTATTTTCTGTTTCAGTAAAGTTTTGTCTTCTTTTGTAAATAGCTTCTGATCTCCTTTCTCTGTTTCTTGCCCTCCAACTACTCATACAATAAATCCTAATGGAAATGTTGGAGCCTGAAGATCTAGTTCTGTACAAGTACAAAACACCTGTGTCTGGTGTTTAGTTTGCTGGGAGAATTCCTTTTATTGGAAAAGGTCCTTTGGTAAACTTATCATCTTAAAAAAAAAAAAAGTCTTTTATTTAATAGAGTACCTGAAATGCTACATTTCATTTTGGACTTGTGAAACACATCTGTTGTGTTCAATAGATTTTGATTTCTACAGACAGGATCTTGAATTCTGCCTATTTCTGAACTCTGATATATGTTTCCTTAATAGGGCTAGGGAGAAAGAAAACAATTAGATTATACTCTTTAAATATTAAAAAAATTGCATATTTTTTTATCTTGACATTATGATAAATCCTTTATTTGCAAAGAAAAGTTGTTTCAGTAATGTAACATTGAAATTTCATTATTAAAGGTAGAAATACTATATAAGACTTTAGGATGTTTGTTCAGGTGTGAGACACAGGTACTGATAAATAGTATGTCATTATGATATAGCCATATATTTTTGAGAATATAAAATATGCACTTGGAAATCTTGGGGCAAAAGGAGGATTGAAACTAAGGGAGAATGAGGAGAATACTGACGTGTTTAAAGAGGAGTCTGGAGGATCTGCAGGAAGTATGTCTAGAGGAGTGAGCCGTTCTTGGCAGTTTTCCTGGAGTGACATATGTAAAGGAGGATGATCCTATTTGCAGCATTCTCCCATGGACATATTTTTCATTCTCTGCAGTTTCCACTGCTTGCTATAACTCTTCCTTTGTTTTCTTCTACTCAGGAAAGCATGTCAGAATGTAAGTGAATAGACTGAGAGTTGCTAGTCCTAGAGGATGGGAGCCTGGGCAGGACCATGGGGATTTAGAAGGCTGGACATTTGTCTCCACTTTTGCAGCTTTTGGGAATAGGTCCCTGGCAATTGTAACTAGGCCAAGCCTTCTCACTTGTCCTTTCCAGTGGCGTCTGGGATTAAGCAGTAGAAAGAGGCCCCCAGTCATTTTAAATAGATTAACCATGGAGCAGCTATATTAATAATGAATATTCAGGGACTCCTCCTCTCCTCACCAGAACTCTGTTTCTTCCCACTGGCTTGCTGATTCCTTACATTCTTCTAATCAGGGTCGAAATCTTGAGTTCTCTGATTAGATAGCAAAATCTTAATTGTGGTAACTTGTTTATATTAAGGTGTATATAGTTAATTAGGAAAATGATTATTATCAGATTTTTTC